CACCAAACTGGCAAAGCTTAAAATGTATAACGTTGCCAAAGATATAATCAGATCTTCTGCTGCTTCCAAGTTGCGCCATTATACATCTCCAGTATCTAATCTGAGTAACCCTGCGCTACGCCACTTTCGTACCATTAAGGCTAATAAAAACATTCTGGTTACCAAAGCTGATTTGTTTTGGAGAAAACAGATTACCAAAATAATATAAAATCATTACTACGTGATGAGACTTGATATCTGGAAATTCAACAAGGGTCTAACTATAAATTTTCATAACAGTGTAAAACTCTATAACTCTGTCAACCAATGGTACCCCGGTGGGACAGCAGTAAGTTTACGGACTTACAATGTCAAAATTCGGGGTAGGCATAGCAGATAGTCCAATGTGATTTTGCTCTGAAAAAAACAAACTCTCCACCAATGAACAAAAGTCCTACGTTATACTATCATTTTACCTCACTTCTGTTTTTTTAGTAAAATACACAAAATAGAAACACCACTCCTCCATATTGTTTAAAACTTTGATCCCCCTTACTTTCACTGGCAAAGTATCTTACGAATAACTATTCCTAGTTGATTCTCACACTTATACAGTAGACTTATACTATTGACTTATAGACAAAATCTAAGATATCAACATAGGACCAGTAAGTTTCCTTTTACATAGTCCCATTATTCTACATGTCATTGTAGAAGAAGACTTAATCTGGTTTGAAAAATGTTACTAAATAATAACGTTCCACCTTTTAGACATCCATGACATTATGAATTTGACACATAACATGTGTTAAACGCTTACTAACTGGAAACAAATTTTACAAATAGATATAAGATCTAGCAATCTATACTTCCTTTGTTCTTTGTTTGATTGTGAAACCAAATACGAAAACAGTCCACCAATAAAACCTTTCGTCTGATTAAACTATGTTTATGATTTAACGATATGACAATGACACACTAAAATAATTTGAAAATTATCTAAATTCGATTAATACTTCGATTCAGTTCATCGAGTAAGTAAAACATGAAGACTTTGGTGTCTCGATTTGATGCACCTCTTGTAAAGTTTGTTTAATTGTTTCAAAAGTAAAAAAAAAAAGAACTTGATGAAAATGTTTCAAGCTTGAGATGAACTTTTCTGAGAGTATGTAGCTTTTGCAAAATAAAATATATTATTTTCATTTGATATTTGAAGGAATTTGAACTTTTGAAAAGTCAAAAATATTTTATTCTGATACATTTTCTAAGGAGTAACTAATAGTGTTTACCTTTGTTGTAGATTTCAGTTACAGATTTTTGTATTTTCCTACATTCTTTCAAAGCTTACATTGAAGTTTTTTTCCTTATAAAACTATAAGTTGTATCTTCGTTTTGATTCAAAAGTTTCCTGTGTTTGGGTTCTTTCTCCATTCAAGCAATTACTTAGACAGACAAGGCCTAATGTACGGTTTAACCACCGAAAGGTGACGAATCATCAGAAACAATGAGGCTAAAATGTTTGATAAAAAAATCACGGAAACTGCAGATGTTTTTAATCATATTCATTGTAATTTGCCCATAACCCTGATTTTGCATCCTAAGTGGACAACATGGGAGGAATGTGATTTTAAAAAATTATTTGCAGTTTACGTGATTTTTTACCACAAATTTAAGGCCTAATCTAAACACGGCCTAACAAACAGTGATCTTTTTTATTTGTTCGTTTCTTTTTTTCACGGAAACGTGAATTTAAGTGATGAAAAGATGAAGTAGAGGCCTAATTTATTCTTTAATTCGTTACTCCTGCTGCAACAGACTAGTTTCGCCGAATTCACGCCTCATTATTACTGCTTGGAAAGGCGAAACAAATAAAGTAGGCCTCATATAGTGGTGTAACGTAATCAGTTTGTTTTATATAGATGTACAGTCCTTTATTCATCAATAACAACCTAAAATCATTAATATTGAACAAAGGTCTATATCTAAACTTGTAGATGAAACGAACCTTGATACTGTCGATTACAATATGATATAACTAAGCTTATAATAATAATGATTCCTGTAGACTCCCACTGGAGCATAGGGCCCCAACAGCACCTCGCCGACGGAAGTTGTTGTTGCAGTAATTTTTTAGCAGGTTGGTTTTTATGGGGCGGAGTTGCTATAACTAAGCTTATCTCATCTTATTCCACGAAAAAACATTTCTTTTCCTATCATACTACAACTTCATAATTTAAATGAAGTATAAAATTATAAAGCAAGCCAAATGAAAAAGAACTGTAATTGTGCAGAATTTCTTCCGAAACACCTCACCTTTTCTTCTAGTGATACATCATCAAGCTAATATTTTATCATTTTGTTCCTATCTCTACGCGAGTCTCTAGAACACATATTGGCTAATAAAGCTTAGCTCACTAGCCCATGAGTTGTCGAAAACGATAGGATTATGTTCACGCCCCGGTTATTTTGAAGTGAAATTTAGGTTTAATGTGCATATTACTACTTGGCAGGATATATGCCGTGTATTGAATAACTTTGTATAAAAGTCTCAGTTCTGTTCCAATTATAAAACAAAAATATATTTATAAATGAGCAGATAAGAAAACTACATAAAAGAAAAACAAATACAATCGTGGAAGCATGGATACCCAATTCTTACTAAAAGAGATCATGTGATTAAACGTGCCTGTCTGGGATGTGTGCTTATTTATAATGTACAATTTATTGACAATTTAAGCCTGTAGTTTTTGAAATTTTCTCAACGAATTTACTCTTTTTATCTTTAAACGTAGAAAATAAAAACTGAATGCTCCAAAATATAAAGATCAAAACAGATTGCAATGCCAGTATATCATATTATTTCGCCAATAAATATAGCTCTGGTTATAGATTCTGTTTACTCAAAGGACATCTTCATGGGTGAATTGTATCGAACTTTAAGGTATTCTAACTTATTTCTATTTATTCATTATTTTTCCTTTTTTTTGCAGTAGAATCATCAGACGATGGTACAGTTGAGAGATGTAAACCAGTTTACGGACTTACAACGCTTTAACTCAAGATGTCTTTCACCGCTGTGTGAAGAGCACTGATAGCACATTCATTTATTTTGCGCTACAAGATAAACAACAACATGGTATATCTTTAAGAACACTTTTGATTACCAAGGAACCTATTTTACATTATACGTCATTATGAGTGAATTGAAAGATAAGATTCGACAAATGGATAAATTTGGTATTCATAAAATTCCAAGCGCATTTCGCCTGTTCTACGTTGCACAAACAAGTAGAAATTTGAATTTTAAATTGAAAAATGACGAAGGTGACACCCCAAAACGAGAATTAGATACTGCTTTGGCTGAGAACGTGACAAATATATTCCATACGATAGACTGGTGTCGTATTCAGTTAATCAGTCTAACAAGAAATAATTGAGGACTAAGCTTTAGAAATAATAAAAAATATAAAAATAAATAACTAAATAAAGATTCCGGTACAATCGGCCTTGAAAAGCCTTTTTCGCAAATTATTTGTTGTGTTTTTTTGTGTTTTTGTGTCATTGGCATTCGTGTTATTACAAACTGTATATACAGGTTAACGAGTTTTGTAATGTAACAATGATTTCTTGGTTATTGTTTATTTGTATTTAAGCACAAAGCCACACAATGTGCTATCTGTGCTATAGAAACCCGGTTTCTAGCGTTGTAAGTCAGCAGACATACCGTTGTGCTAGTGGGGGGGGGGGGACTTTCTTGGTTAACTCCTGACGATGGTAGGAGCACACTCTCACCAAAACATGTAGAGTATTGTAGACTGGACAAATTGTCTTCTAGTAAATAATTCTATTGTACTTTTAAAATTGTGTCTAATTTTTAAGTTATAACATTCCGTATTGGTGTTTTCTACTGTTAAATGTATGTCTGTATTAAGAATAATTGAAAGCTAACTAATATGAACTTGATGAAATCTATCATTTATTAAACACTTTTCAGTTTTGATTATTCATCAAAGAGCGTTTAAGTGATTTAACATGATATGACGTTTAGAAGCTTCGTTTTTATAGTAAGAATTCTCTTAGTTGATTTTATTGAATCTGAAGTTTAAGTATTCATTCTCACACTTTTTGAAAGTTAAAAATAGCAGTAACGATAACCAATTTTCTATAACATATCAAATTGTGTTTAGTAGAGTTTTATTATGTCAAATTTACACAAAAAATAAAGAAAAATAGTAGTAATTTTCTATAGAATAATATAAAATTATTTGTTACTAAAAATAATCATGTCAGGAAAATACTCTGTGAAAAGTTATAAAAATGATTTGTTAATTATAAACATAATTAACATTATAAACTAACTAGTTAAAAAAATCTGTGATTTGATAATCAATTACCGTATCTTTTGGTGTATAAGAC